TTTTAAGTACTGAATTATGTTTTTTCCCAAATCGTCCGTCTAACAATGTAAGACAATGTGTGGGAGCGGTCGCACAAGCGGCAGCGAGGTAATATTTTAGGATTTTAGGTTAATTTTCTTTACGTTCGCTGTTTTAACTAGATAGTTACAGTTTTGATTTCCAACGTCGGCGAATAGATGATAGAATTGATGGATGAAAGAAATTTGCATCATTTAACTTTTAAACACTTCTCTGTGTTAATTGTTTTCTCTAATGCAGAAAGCCAATCTATACATTGCAGTGAAAGTGATTGATTAAAATTAAAACTAAACTTTTTGGCAATTATGGCCTAAGGTTAAGGCTGATATACTGACGAACTTTCTCTTATAATGAAGTCTTTATATTATAATGACGTTTTCATCCTATAGGATTTTTATTGAATTTATATATATTTATATATATATATATATATATATATATATATATATATATATATATATATATAAGAGGCGATTTTTATAAAAATATTAATAAGCGACTTTCTAGTATTATTATTAAAACCGCCAACAGTATGTCCAAACAATCAAAGCACTTGATATACCTAATAACGCAGCAAAGCCGACGTAAATTATCGTAACATCGATTTACTGTCGATGAGTCGTCGCACAATGGGCTACACAGTGCGACGGGGTCGATCCGGAGACGTGACGACTTGTTAACGGCGCGGATTACAGTTTTATCTTTATTAATGCCGCTACGCAACATTGGCGCGCGTCGCGCATCTGTCATAAATAGAATTCGGTGTTAAAATCTTTATTGTCGCCGAACATGAGTAATGAACAAATACTAAATTCACGTTGACATAAAAAGTGCAATTAATAGCCTAAATACTGTTCGAGCATATTTCACTTCATACGTTGGCAGACAGACGAAATATTAATATTGGTATGCTAAATGCAAATTGTCATTCATAATCACAATCGCTATCGTTAGTATCATTGTCGGGATCTGAACTTACTTCTTAAGTACATAACAAATGAAAGGATGGCCCGCCCCATCCTTTCATTTGTTATGCCCCATGGAGCGACCAGCTCTCATTGCAGTACTTTTTACTGCAATAATAGCCGGTGGGTTTGTGAAATTTTGAACAAAAGCAAAGTAGACCTTTCACCAAGATCTTTCATTTTTGTGATCGTTAACAGTTCAATCTTCAGCTCAACAGCAAAAGCATGTTTCAAACTTGACATATCTATGGTTTTCATATACGGGACATTTTGATAGTTATCAAAATAAAAACGGACAAATACGATTTTGTTCGTTTCTGCAAAACAAACGCGAAAGTTTGTATGTATAGATGGATGTTTGTTACTCTTTCGTGCAAATACTACTGAATGGATTTTAATGAAACTTTGCCATAATATAGCTTATCCATCAGAGAAAGCTTATGTAGCTATAATTTATATACATATTTTATGTATATCGGTCTTTCTTAATAATACACCTTCAGCCTATTCTACGCAGACGTAGTTGCGGGCATCAGCTAGTAGTTAATAACTTTTTTTTTTGCAAAAACATGCATTTCTGACATAACATCGCCATTTATTACCATTTCACATAAACTTTACCGAAGCCGTAATCAAGTAACACGCATTTAACAATATCAAATAACGTAGCAACGTTAAACCTGAATAAAGCTTAACCTTCATTATAAATTTTTATCTGTACCATGAAACTTTGGTGCGTGACAAACAATGAAACGATGTAGCTTAGCGAAGCGTTTGCGCAAATCCTGATAAAAATAAAAGTGAAACTGCACAAAGCCTGTCAAGTGTCAACGTATCAACACGTATACACGGATCGTGTTACGCAGATGTTTGTATAGCGTAATATTAATGACCGACCAAGCTCCGATCCATTCTCCTTTCAATTAACAAATAAATAAATTGTTTTAGTTTAAAAACTAGTGGATTTAGGTGAAGTTTGTATTATTTGAGACTTAATGGCTGAACGAAAACAGATAAAAAGAAGAAATAAAATAGAAATTGTACGATAAATATTACGATAATATAGGTTGAAAACTTTATAAAGATATATAATACCTAACTACAATGTAATTGATAATAAACAAAAGCTTTTTTTTCTGTAATTGTGATCAACTTTTATAGAACACATTTCATTGTTAATTTCATTGTTTTTGTTAATTTAATTTATAATGTAATACCTACCGCAGCATATAATATTTTCTAGTAACTTGAGATCGTTTTTTATTGTAATGTCCGTTTTGGAATATTTGTAGATCTTTGACGATCCGATTGGCGTAATGGGTGGTTGCTCCTGAGTGTATGAGCTCGATTCCAAAAATATACTGTGTGATAAAAATAGTGTTTTTCCAGTGTCTGGGTGTTCATTTATCTATAATATAAATTTATTTACGAAAGAAAAGTACGTCTAGTAAGTACGTCTCTTGCTTAGTTTGGGACTAGAGAACGTTCAAATGGTAGGTTATAATAGTTGTGTGTGTTGTAGTTATGTAAAAATGTTTACTGTCCTGTCCTGCCCTAAAATATGAATATCAGTGCCCAACAACTAACAAAAAATACACCTTACATACATATGATATGTATGTACTTATCTATATGCGTTCATACGGTTATTGGAGTGGCGTATCTTATGGATAAAGCGTTTAAGAGACACTTCACGTGCGCGTTGCGCGGCGGGAAACATGTGGTCGGGAGCACATGAAATCGCGGGGCATGGGATGGGAGTGCGTCGACCCACACTGAAATAGGCTGCCTTGACCGCCAACCTCCCGCCTGACCCACTCCATCGGGACGTGTCCCGACAAGTTCTGCGCCGACGGCTAACGGATTCATTGTGCTTTGTTTTTATTAATTATAAGCCGACTTCGAAAAAATATGTGGGTTCAGTGATAGCTCTCGAATAATTGGCTTGCGATGATTATTTCTCTTCCAAAAATAGGTTATCTCAGATGTGGTCTCGTATAAATTTTAGGCAAGATCTGATGCTGGGATTGGGTACTCTTTTTAATTTTTAAAATTATTTTAACATATTTGTAGCATTATCTAGGTGTCGACATTGTTATATTACTTATCTGCTATTTTATAAGTGGAAATAAATATGGTGTAATTGCATACGTTTAAAAGTTTCTTCGACAAACCTAAGTAATAATTAGATAAGAAATTTAACGATGAGGACGTCACGATGTGGTTTTGTAAATCTTTTTACGTGACACTTAATTGAGACGTCTTCGTAAGATGAAGATGAACGAATAAATTGTTGTATACGTAAATACTGTTATAATAGTAAACAAGCTCCTCGCTATTCGTATCCATAAATAATTCTCTATAACGTCTGACTTGGAAAGTCAGCGTGTCCGACTGTTTATGATATTGTGGTAAACGGCGCAGGCGCGGTTCTCTTCTCGGAAAACCTTCGCACGTGCGTATAAACAAAACATTAAGGTCAATAGACGATCGTATACTGCTTTCAGGATGTCACTTATTTAACCGACTTCAAAAGGAGGAGGTTCTCCATTCAACTGTATTTTTTTTTATGTTTATTGCCAGAACTTTTGGCTGATTGAACCGATTTTGATGATTCTTTTTTTATTTGAAATCCTATGCCTCCCATGTGGTCCCATAATAATTTATTGATATTGGATCTTGGGTTCCGGAAATATTTAGGGAACTTCTGAAAATCAATTATAAAATGAATACAGGGCGAGATATTTGAAGTCGGTTCTGGTTCTCGTTAGTAAAATTACGGTTATTAAAGTTTTGAGTAAGCAATTCACTTGATAATGCAGGAGTTAGTGTCCCGGCAGTGTGTGCAGTATTTGGCAGAGGCTTCCAATTACTTCACTCACCGGGCGAAACGCAAAAGTATAAATACTTGAAGCCGGTGCTAAATAAAACTATTTTACTTAATCGCGTTTTATTTTCATTTGAGTCCCCGACATTCCGAACACGACCTGTATTAATGGTTACGGAACAGTCGAGCCATGAGTTTCAAAATCACAATAAAACGCGATAAAATGCCTAATAGTTATATTGACGACGTATTCGAGTAAACACAATATATTATCATTAGTTGAAGCCGATTTTCAGTGCGTCAGTGCTACTTCCCGAGACGAGAATATCCGTTCTTCCGGCAGAAGATGAGCAATAACGTAATATCGGAATTACACGAATTAATTCTTCTTTCTTTGTCTCTTTTAAGGCAAGAGTGAATAGGCATCTACTGCGCTAAAACAGGAAGGATAGCAGTCTCCCTTAAAAAACTTTTCATCAGATAAACTGCATTCTCAGTTGGAAATAAGGAAATAACTATGTTATATCTACAAATGTCTTGTAAATTACTTTTCAAGTGTAAACTTCGCACAAGAACTGAAACTTGTTTTAATGTAATTGTAGATCAAATTACGCTAACATTAAGAACAAAAGATTAAGACCAGCATCCTCTCACAATTTGAAATATCGACGGATATATTTAATGAGTCTTAAGCAAACGTAATACCCCATTGTGCACCTATCATTTAATGATTAATAAACATACAAAATTAACATTTTATTGCTGTTTGTTTCCCAGATATATATTTTTTTTTTACCTCCGATATTTATATTGATGATTTATTATACATGGTAACTTACTTTCGAACCTACGTAACGCGCAAGCGTCTATTTGAATAAAGATATTTTAGAGTTTTAAATTTTTTGAGTTTTTATTCTGTTAGATGCGTAGGAGTGGTTGTGCAAAATTAAGAATTAACTCAATAAATGATACGATTGTACCTTTGCTTTTTGTTTTCTTCTATTTATTTTATTTTTATTAATTTATTTCGCGTCTTTTGTTTTGCACCTGCGTCAAGTTTTCTCTACTCCCAGAGTACTCTGGTAGAGAATGCTTATTAGCATTAAGTTTGCCTTTTGTTTAGCCTTTAGTTGAGGTATAAACAATATTTTTTTAAATAAATTTCGTCACCGCAATAACTGCCTCGTTATACGTGGGCTATCTGGAGTTTCGCGAGCGGCGTCGCGGCCTGGAGGTCGGCACACGTGCCCGCTTTCCCACGGACCGCGGGGGTCGATCGGCGCGCCGCGGCCCGCCGAATCCCGCGCACTTTTTGTATTTGGAACGCGACCTCCACTGATAGCGATTTGTTTTTTTCTATTTCGCGTTCGCTCCAGCCGGCCAGTGGTTACATTCGAAACGCTGTTCTGGCAGGTTCGTCCGTTTAGAAAAAAGAAATAAAATGTCGAGAAACGAAATTAGACAGACAGAGCCATTGTTGACTATTGTTCAGTTATGTAGTAACCTTCTCTTTTTTTTGACACTATATCGATTTATAAACAATAATCGTGAAAGTTTTTAATCCTAATTGTTTTTTTTTTATTAACATTGTTATGAAATATAAGTAAGATTAGTTCTCAAAAGTTCAACTAAACAGTTTTCGCAGGGTTGAAAAATAAAAAAACTTAATTCCCACGAAATTAAATTAATCGCGTACCAAATACATTCGCGTATCATCATCGCGTAACATCATCGCGTAACATCATAATTAAATTTCTCAAAATCCTACTGCGACGCGAAACATAACCAAACGCCGTTGCGCACAAACTTTCGCTTTCGTAATATTAGTCATAGAATAAAAATAACTTGTTTCTTCACATAATTACATAGAGCCACATTGAACATTAGTAACACAAATCCAACAGAAGCTGGAAAAGCAGTGCAGCGTTGCAATAAATCGAGCGGCAACGCGTGTAATACTCTGTATTGGGGGCAAGAGTATACAGAAACACGGAGGGCTTTAGTCGGCGCCTGTCTGATCCGCGTAATAATTTCATCCTTGGCAATGTTGCTATTGCTGATGTTATGTATCTTGTTGCGACTAGGAAATGATTTCAACACATTTTTTTTTATGGGAAAAGTTGTCATGCGAGCAGGCGGTTCACCTGATGTTAAGTGAATACCACCATGACATCTGCTACACCCGAGGGTTTGCAGATGCCTTGAAAACTTTTTTGAAAATTGGGCTCCGGCTACCTCACTCACCAGACGAAACGCGAATGTATTATACTTCCACTTCACGCCGGTCTTCTGTGAGGTCGTGGTACTTACCCGGACGAGTCTGCTCATTCGTGCAACAGCCGAGGCTGCTGCGTGGCCCTACCACACTAAAATATGATTAAAATGATGATTTAAACACATAACCTTAAATCTATATATATTACGCGTGTAGCAGACACTTTGTAATGTATTATATAGCATGATGTGAGCACGGAAGAGTTAGATTTGAGTTAAAATCATGAATAAGTTACAAGTGAACCGTGATAGCTTAGTTTGAGGTCGCTCGCCTTTTATTTACTTATCTGCAGGCACATAGGGATGACGGAAACATCGCGAGGAAACCTGCATATTTTCGAGATAATAACAAAAAATATTTCCAATGTATAGGTATTGTTTGCCTATCCGCAAGGGGGTCGCGCTATGCCCAGTAAACGTGTATAGGCTGTTAATATACTTGACTTTACTTTTTTACAAGAACTTATACGTGAAATTAAACAAAACATTCATTTTTTGTATAAGCTCATATTGTGAATGGCAACCACAGCTTATATAATCACACATACCGACATAAAGTAAAAGTCTTTAACATTTGAAAATACAGACATGTTCACAATTTTACATTCCGCGCCATCTAGCGGTGGATAGTTATACACAATTAAAATATTACAAATTATACCTGAAATTTCTGTAACCAACATTACTAAATCAGATTAATCATTAATACCGGTTAAGTATAATAGACGATCTATTAAGAAAAAAGCGGTGGTCGTCTCTCTTACTGTGCATTCGAATATAAATATTCAGTATATAACTATAGTCCTCATTTTTTCATTATTTAAATGTAATGTTAATTACATTCTTAAATTACACTCACATATTAAAAAAACATTTTAAGAGATTTTTAAATGGAATAGTGAAACTTCCTTTTATATTTCAAATAATACGACATGTAGTCTAAATCAAGTATAACAAAGAACTTTCCGAAACAGATACATTTTTCTTCGCAGACGTAACTCAAGTGCAATCAATCCAGACACGTTCAGGAGTTCACTTATCCTATAAATAGCAAAAGGATCGATATGGTTGCACCGAAATAGCTTGTACTTGGAAAGCGGCTTGTATCTCTATTGTAATGGCCGCTCTTGTTCCAAGTTTAAATTCCGCGCAGAGTTATGGCGCCAGAGATACGTTCTAGAATATTCCATTCGGATATCTAATGTTTATTTTCTTTAAATGCTTCCTAAACGGCCATTTAATTTTATTGGATTGAGTCGTGATGTTCTAGTTGTATCTACCTTGTGGTGATCATACCGGCGCGATTTTCATTTTTAATCGTAAGCGAAATAAGTGAAGTGAAAATTAAAAAAGCAAATATTGTTTGTCATACGAAAAGTTTAACACAGATAACGCTATTTGTTCTAACGAGAGCTCGATTAGTGGAAATTCTTACGTGACTCGACGTTTTATTTTTATAATTAAGAAACATCGAAAGTGCAATGACAAGAATAATAATTATCTTATCTGCACATCTCATCTCCACCTGTGTGATTTCCTCCAAAACACTAAGCGGCTGTCAGTGCAAACAATTGTTAATAATTTCTGATAAATTCAAATTGCACGTCATGACGGGTCCGTACGCTAAAATTGCTAAAACTATGTCAATTCACGCAAGAATGCCGCTCAATCGTACTTTCGCGGCATCGCCGTATTCAATATGGCCGCTTTCAACGATAATTTTTATAGTGCATGTACATACTACGTAGACTCATACTCGTATAACCTAACTTTGTCTACGTTGGTGCGTGTTTCCATTGGCTAATCGTTACGTCACGTCAAAAAATTTCCTCTGACAATAAATACTCAACATATCTCACTACTAACAGAGTCAATGCTTAATTATTATCGGCCGGTTTCAATAAGTAATCTGCAGATATATTTGGTTACTAGCTAGAGGTATTTGACAGTAGCTCCGAAATACTAACGTCAACATTCTGTCTCCAGTGAACAAATCTATCTGTAGATTGAATATTCAAAACGGCTTTAATTCGAGTTGTAGAATTTACGAATTGTTCCTTCATCATCATCATCATTTCAGCCTGTTTGAGTCCACTGCTGAACATAGGCCTCCCCCACAGACTGCCATGAAGTACGATCCTGAGCCACCTGCATCCATCGACTTCCCGCACATTTGCACAGGTCGTCACTCCATCTAGTGGGGGGTCGTCCCACACTGCAATGGCCAGTACGAGGCTGCCACTCGAGAACCTTTCTTCCCCAACGGTTATCGGTTCTACGTTAATTGTTCCTTACTATTGTTTTAATTAAAGCTGTTTCTCGGTGTCTTGCTCGAGTCAAATCTGACCGTTTCTTTTATCCTTGCATTTGCAATTAATAGATCGGATGCAACACGGAACAAGACGGGCATAGTCTAAGTGCACACAGGAAACACGAGCGCGTTAGGCGAACCTACGAAGCGAACGCGCCGATTTCACAGCGCAATGGAGACGCGGCGGCAGTCTACATTAGTATTCTGTTGCGGCACGACTCGAATTTACTGTTATAGCCGGCGTGCATCTCCGCCGCAGATGCGCCATCTCTGCCCCTGACAAACGCCGGCGACGATTTAGAGGCCCGGCTCGGTGCAGTACAAATAACCCTGGCAACTTGTGCGACGGGAAATGCACTGAGCTTGTCACTCCATCTCCTATATATTCTTATATGAAAAAGATAAGCATTTACAACATTAAATCTATATTAATTACATATTAATAAATTAAATATTAAATTAAACCTAATCCACGCGGAATGGTGCCAAGAAGTAGCGTTCTTGGCACCATTCAGCTGCATTTCCTCGCTGAATAGTTATGCTTAACCTTTGAGCGAGAAATGATCCAGCTCTCTTGTCACCAGCCGCGGCGTTAAGCCTAGGACGTAAAGCTTTGAAAAATTTCGATGTACGGTAACCTCAAAGTTTCAAGAGCAAATGGCACAAATAAAAAATCTGAATAGCGAATTAAATTGCCGATTTGCGTGATACATTTATATGACGCTCCTGGGTGCGATCCGCCAATCCGCAGAGATATGTCCTGAAATATTTATTATTAATTTAATTTTATTTATTTTATTTTTGTATACAACTAAAAGAAAGAAACCCTTCTTCAGAAACTGAAATACAGCATCGCCTCATTTAAACTGGCAAGTTGCGAATGCATCGAATGTATTCAACGGCATCAGCGTCATTAACGTATAACCGAGAAAAATTGGTCTATCTGAGCGAGATTTCCTCAGTCGAGCCGAATCTCATTCCGTTGGTCCACAAAAAAGTTATACCACAAGAGATCGCGGCGAAAATGTCCCGTCGTGCGAACAATGGCCGGGCGGTGGCCAATTGAGCGCGAAATTCGATTGAGTCATCTGAAAACGCCGAATTAACTTATGGGAACCGGTGAAGTTCGGTTCGCACGGCCTCGACCGCTGTATGCGATACAATTGATGACTCCGTGGCGCAGTTGCCAAGGTATTGGCTTCGGCGTCGGGGGTCGTGGGTTCGATTCCCACACGAGACAACTATTTGTCACCCACAGTCTGTTTCGCATCTGGGCTCGTCCACGTGAAATGTATGCTTGTAAAATGTCCTTACAGCACAGGACAATACATAAATAAGGGTAATTTTTTTATACACTATTTAAAAAAAAAGGAAGGGTTCAAATCATCTTCCATCCAAATGTGAACGTTTGATTATCTCGTTAGATAAAACTATTTTGCAGATTTTACAGCGTCTAAATAAATCAATTAAATAGGTAATTAAGTTATAATTTAAAATTATAATTAAAGTATGTATTATTACCTCATTGTTATAAAGAAATCTTTATGTAAATAGAACAGTCTTCGTAACATTCAAAGTCAAAAGTCAAAATTTCTTTATTCAGCATAGGCTTATTTAAAGAAAGAAAGAATATCAAAAATTCCCACCGGTTCACTAAACTAGACCTGCCAGAGAAGAACCGGCAAGAAACTGCAGTTTCTTATGTAAGTATATACAAAAAAGTATTTGCGTATAAACTTAGCAGGAGCCAAGGACTTGCAAGTGCAGAGCAAGTGTATATTAAGAGCACTCATTCATAGCATACATTACTGTAGTATCCAATGTACAATTGTAATCAAGCTGTAATGTTACAATACCCATACTAGAACAGTTTAACTGTTAAAAATTTTATTGTAAAAATGTAATTTGAAAAAGTGCGATTACTGCAAGTAAGGATAATGCCAAGTAATGATACTAGAATAGTTTAACTCTTGAAAATTTTATTGTAAAAATGTAATTTGAAAAAGTGTGATTACTGTAAGCACTTTGGATAATGCCAAGCATTGCTATAAATTCAATAAAAATAAAGTCCGTTAGTCGTTGAGTTTTCGCGCGGTGAGCGTGTCGACCGCTTAGCCTTAGTAACTAGAGTGTCTGGCCATGTAATTCGCAGGTCCGAATTCTGACAACGGCAGCGACAGTTTTATCAACACATCGTAAGTGTCACTATAGAAGTAACCATAGACCGAAATGGATTTTAATTTTCCACTTCTTAAACTGATGTATTTCAATAAATTCCAGTAAATCTCGTAAAACATTAAAAATGAGTGAACTATCATCACAGTCTATAAAAATGCTGTAGAATTCGCGGTCCTCCCATAAACGGTTACCCAGCACGTTTGTGTGCTACACATCAAAATTATTCCAACATTACCGGGCGCGAATCTCTAACGATATACAAGTAAAATCACGAAAAAGCTCCCATGGGAATTTAATTCGGCATTGTGCACCTTTCAGCCGATATTTGCCCACAGACTCGACGCATCGGAACAGCCCAATCGGCCCATTAGCCGTGTGACTGGTCACACACAAAACCATCCGACGCATTGTCACACACAAAACTCCTAATTCGCCAACATTGACGCACAATTGCGTTCATTCGCGATTGTGTTCATTCGCGATTTCCCGCTCTTTGGCCGCTATGTGATGCCTTTTCATCGGCGTGATTAATCGCCGTTGAAAGGTTTGATGCAGTGGCCCATTGTAGGCCAAGCGTGTCATAAATACAAACAGAACTCCCACGTTCTACGCCAACGTAATTATACGCGTGGACTGGAACAGGATAAACTTGTACAGCTTAACACGTAAGAGCCTATTTAGACGCCGCCGAGATCATTACTTAAAATACTTTTTTTCTCTTTCACTCCCCTCTTTCAATTGCTAGTGTGGAGACGTTTAAGTTAGAATTAGTAATGCAATTATTTTACTGCCACTCGATTTTGGAATTGAAAATTTTTTAACATTGGAAATTAATCGACTCACCTATATACCCGCAACATTGGAAATTAATCGACTCACCTATATACCCCCTACTAGCTACCCGCCCCGGCTTCGCACGAGTGCAATGTACAATAGATACTAATGTGAGGCAGTGTGAATTGTTTAATCATATTATGATTATTACTACAGTATATCTTTATAAACGATATTAACATATGTTTATCATGAGACCATGCAAATATGTTTTGTGGTTACGCTCGAAAGGCGCGAGTATACATTTCCGTAGTACATTAATTTGATCTAGCTCGTAGTAAGGTATAGCCAGCGTTTGCAACACAAACAAAAAAATGTTTGTTACTACATCACGTTAGTCTTTAAATTTCTCGGCTTTTCTCTACAATAACATGCATTTACCTAATGCAGTTTTCAGCAACAGAATCACTCTCTGTATTGCTGAAAACTGCATTAAAATCCGTTGCGTAGATTAAAAGATATAAGCGTACGAAAAGTGGAAGCAACTTTGTTTTATATGTAAAGATAATGCAAGAAAAATGTTAATACAACATATTCTAAAAGGTATTTTGATTCAAAACGATAAAAATTTTATAAATCTTCTTTATTCTTTTGCTGGTATAACCTAAATTGCTAATAATTTATTTGCACACACTCCGTATATATTGAGTACATGTAAACGATTGAAGAAAAAATATTCAGCGCCTGTCCAAAATATGCGGCAAATATAGTAAACAGCAATATTTATGCCAATGGTTAAACCTAACGCAAGTGTGCTTTGCAATTTCACTTTTTTTAAATGATATTAATAAATATAATAATTTCGGCTTTCATGTGTTTATGTCCAACAACTAGCAATTCCAAAAACTAGCCAATGGAATGCCTTGATATTTATTTGTTCACAGTGAATACACATGAAAGTGTTTCTACATACTTTTAAAAGCCACAGGGAAGCGTGGTTGAGTTCAACTAGTTCAATATAAAATCGAAAAATGAAAATATTTTCATATCCCTTTTAAAGGAACCGAGTAATATTTTATAAATAACTATTGTTATAGTGTTATAGTTATAGAGACCTACAAATTATAGCACTTTACTACGCTAAATAAGCCAAGAAGCTTTTTTCGTAATTACATAACATTTTTCTTATCATGTCTAGTATATGTATAGACTGATAAGAATAGATGGCATAGATAGTATGTATATCTATAACACATATACATTATAACACACTATCTACACCATCTATTTACTCTATAAATATACTTGCTTTTCCAATCTTAAAATGGTTCAGGTTACCTATCATAAGTAAAAATTAAAAATAAAAATTCTTCTACCTCAAGCCGATCTTCTCTCTAGTCGTATTATTCTGTCACTTGTGCCGGCGCGGCATGCACATGGAAAAAGTAATTAAAATCAACACAATTTACCCCTCAATCGATCAAGGCTCCATTATTCAAATGTTTTTGCTCGTTGATTCAAATAAGCTTAATACGTATTTTAATAAAGTAACTCTGACAGACCCACGCATCATTATATTCATTATTATAGTTCTTCGTTTGGTAAACGAGATGACCGGGCTCAATTTAAAGGTTGGTTGATACCACGTAACATCAGGTAACAGATACCGCGTAACGCCAGCTCGCTTGCCAAGTTTTCACATAAAAAAGACTCTATTTTTGAAGTCAATATAGTTTAAGCTCAGGTATATCTATGCTGTCAACATTACTAAAATTCTTAAAACACGAGTACTAAAATATATGAGTTCATACTGCACCAAACAGTGTTCCCTATAAACGCGGTCAACCGCTATTCGTGTCCATATTTCCCAACGTGTTCTTGCGAAAGCGAAAATTTTACTCAAACACTGTTTACGGTGTACCTCTTTGAAGTACACTCGACTTGCTTGCATTAGGTAAAGTTATTAATTCTTTCGGAATAATTATGACTAGTATGCATCTGCGTTAGCAAATTATGTTGTGTCATTTTGTACACTAGCTTGATTTATGATTAAAAGACAAATGAATGGTAATGAGTTTTGTTTGATCTTTAAGGTCGTTTCTAGGCATTTAAACAACTTTAAAATATGTATAAAAAGTAGATAGGAAAATAGATAAAATGCTTTTAGTCAATCTCCACATATACCTAGAGTTTTTTAGTTTAACATTTAACCGCTTTTAGTTTAATACAGCTCCTTTAATATTGTCTTATTTTATTGTCATATTGCCCAGGACATTATTAAAAAATCCTTTGATTACGACTAAGTCAAGATTAAGACACTCTTCATTATATTAATATAATTAAATACTATATCACAGCAATGAAACTAGTTTTTTTCATATATTTTGTACATGAATTTAGGCGCAGATAAAGTGTCCTGGACGCTTACAAAGCTATATATCATTTAAGAAGTACAGCTTAGTTCCCTTACTTAAATCTTCGATTTTTTTATCACGAACTTACCATTATGAGAAAAAATAATAAAGACTGATGTTGGATTATCGTAACGTTCTATTCTTTTTTCATCATCACCATTTTGATCATTTTAGCCAGTTTTAGACCACTGGGGAACCAACAACTTTCGGCACGCACGCGGGATAGCCATCTCGATTTTCCAGACCTTAAAAACTCAATCCAATTACGGGCAGCAGCGTTAAAGGAGCCAGGTTAGAACTTCGGTTGCCAACCCATTGCCAACCCGCTCGCCAGGCGTGTTAACTATAGCAAAGCTCCCTTATGGTGAAAGCTCAAGATACTTTTATATTATTACGAAATTGTACATTTTACAAACTCCAATTAGACCCCCCAAGATCCATGCATTTGCACCACACTTCAAGCATTTATCATTGCCATCGGCGAAATATTTGAATATTTAATAACATAATGCAAATAAATTCAATTACGTAGCTTTGTTATAACGCTTTTATAAAAATAAAATATTATTTCATAAACAATACACCAAACAAAACCATAGTTAAGCCGTTACAATATACTATTTACAGGTTTTTAAATTTAATTTTAACATCTATTTCTTTATCATTTATAACGTCCTAAAATCATTAAAATATCTCAGTGAATTAAAATCAACAAACACATTTCAAGACGATATAGCAAAATCCTTAAAATCTCTAGTGTTAATTGAATTACCAACTATGTCCTTGAGGCTCTCTTTAATGATTACGTTTCAAAATTATGTAGTCTCTGGCAATATACCACTCACTCCACTCGCCTCGGATGTGACGCTACTGCGCGTATCATAAGGCTGAGATAAACACACAATGACGAAAAATATTATTGTGATTTCACTTTTATGTCTGTGCTGCCATCACACACTGCAGCTAATCCCATTACGTGAGTACGAACTTCAAATTTATATAATTTTTTTATATATTGAATTATGTAAACCCTTGCAGTTGATATTTCTTATTATTCTAATAGCTTAATATCTATTTTCTTTGATTCTTTCGTTAATTATTTTTTATCATATTATTCAAAATATGTTATAAATTTTATATTGTTATGATTATTAAATGAATTTTAAATATTAAAACGCTGTAATTTTTACTTAGTTGCAATTCATAATGTGTGAAGAAAATATTATTAATAAATTTCAGTAACAATTTGTACACATCATGTTAAGAAAAAAGATAAATTAAGAATTACTTTATTAATCAAATTAATCCATTGGAAACCAAATTAATTTAATTAATAAATAGTAAATTGTCGACATTAAATAGTTTTACATAAAATACTTAACGACCGTTTTCTACGTAAACTTGACAATTGTTAATTTTTTTGTTAAAAAAAATATCCTTTATCGAATTAACTATTCATAACAGGCCTTATAACATAGCTTGCCTAAGCACGTTAATATGACGAAATTAAACGTCTCGTGCTTGCACAATATGGTATACCTTAAAGACTGCATGGAGCCTGCCTCAAATACTAACAAGGGGCCCTTGATTTATGTCTCGTAATGGAGGTTAATAACTTTTAATTAATCTGTTATTGGTTAATCGATAAATAATAATGACAACCGTTGTAGTCGATGACCGCGTACCGCATACTTTAATTCGGTATACTAAAGCAAAGTCAGTTTAAATCACGGTCTGGGCAAGAATAAAACTTAAATGAAATTCGTTGATAAATTCATTTTACCATGAGCCCGGCACCGAAGGAAAAAACCGTCATATCTAAGAAATAATAAAAAAATATTTCAAACATACGTAAAGCCTGCCAATCAAAAGTACGGTCGCGTGATGTACTACGTGTTAAAACGTCTCTGTACTCATTGTAAATAGTCTGTTACATTGCTTACTTTAAATAATAATGTTTGATACATTTATACGAATAACGTAATAAACTTACAATTTACCATGCGCGGATGTTGAAAGGTTTGGAGGGCCCCCAAATAGACGGTCGTTATAGGATGGTAAAAAAATAGATAAGTTTTATACGATTATCAAATATTAATGACTATCTTTTTATTCCATTAGGACCCAGTCCGTGATAAAACATTACAATACAAAATTAAAGTATGAAACGATGTAATACTTTCCAAAAATTATCAAAATCTATTAATATCATTGCAATTGTAAACCTTATTTTGAAACCCATTGTGGAAACTGTAGGTAGAAAGTGATATAATTTGGCATTTATAATATTTTAGTTTACTAATTTACAAAACAATTTATTAAGAGTGACATACGAAAGGTGTCAACATGCCAATGGTGTCATAGAAGTCTTTACATGCAGGAGGCGATACTAATTCTAATCCTGTATCTGCTAGTGTAAATTTTTTTTCAATGATTTTTTTTTCTAGCATTATTTTTTCAAACGCTGCTTACGGTTGACAAAATAGAGATAGGACAGTAATTAAAGAATTTAATTAAACTTTCTTTTATTAAAGTTAAGTATTCTGCTTAAGCTAATATAATAAGTCTGTACGTTAAAAGTTAATATAAGCAACAAACCTAGTTCACAAAGACAAAAATCACTTCAAAGTGATCTTTTTATAAATTGAAAAAATAATGTTTTTAACTTATAATTAAGTCATAAATATTCTTTATATACTTAATTTGAAAATATCTTAAAAACAAAAAAATAAAGCCTGGACAATTAAATAACATTGTATATAAATACTGTTTACGTTACATCAATATTTTCTTTGCGGCCTTTACGATTGCCGGCTTGTGTTTGTTACTCAACACAACCTAGTTTCTTGACCCGTAGAACATTGCCGAAATATTTGGTTAAGTGCATCACTGTTATCTCATCGAAATGCAAATAAGGTTCAACGAATCGACACTTAATTCTGTCTATTCTCCTATCATTAAGTTAATTGGCAATATCGTCGCCAAGGCATTATTCTATCAAACATATATGATTCAACAAATTATTAGAAGTTTATCAATAAGGGTAATATATTGCATGACCCGAAAAACTCCGAAGAAATATTAGACGCAATGATAATATCGACAAAGCTAACAAGTTGTAACCATCATTAACAAGCGTCGTCGTTATCTTTTCATAATTAATTTGCATTAAATAAAAATTTACCCCAACAGCTGATTTCATCCATCCTTGCGATGACCTCAACGACGAATGCTTCACAAAGGCCACACTGGACGCCATACCGGGAGTGGTAAGGGGAATCCCCGAGGCCGACATACCGCCCTTGGATCCCCTACACTTGGACAGGAACATCACTATGGACCTCCCAGGAAACGTTAAAATGACCTTTCACAATGGAAAACTTCTCGGATTGAGCACATGCGTACCAAATAAAGTTTCGTAAGTAGTTTACTTTCATTTAAATTGTGAAATAATATTCTTTAGTGCGTGTTGTATTTCTTAAAGTATTATATCTTTATATATAATAATTCTTCTGTACGTGTTAATGTGATTGAGCGCTTCCTAAATGGCTGGACCGATTTTGATGAAATTTTTGTGCATGTTCTAGTGTATTCGAGAATGGTTTAGATTCAATTCGATCCACTACAGAATGTTTTTTAATGATTTTTTTATTTATTACTTATTGGATTCAAGATGTGCACAGGATAACTACTGTTGGGTCCGCTAGTTTTTATATATTTTTTTGTTTAGTAAAACCAATTACTTATAAGCAATTACTGAATCAGTATGAATATTATGTCACTAGAACGGATCCCCTTAATCCGGTTTTAGCTTTCACGCAACCAATCATTTCATCGTACCCATAACTGTTACACACAACTTTAATATCTCAAATCGAAGATAGACAGAGTCGAATATTTATTACGAAATCTACAACACACGTAAGCAGTTATCTTCCATTGAGGAGGCCCACACATGGCTGCTGAGTAATGTTTTATATCTTTTTATATTGTTGTGACAAATTCTTAAGGCTTTTTACTAATAAGTCAGCTCATGCTCACCAGCTTTTCGAGGTTGTTTCTTTTTTTAGATAAAATTTGAAAAATATTGTGATTTGTACACATAGCCATTAGGTGCACAATTTCCCATCCACTAGACGATAATTTATGTAAATGAAAATATGTGGCAATCTCATCACTACAAGAGTACATAATACATAGCCATTCTATACACTGAACCATCGATAAGTTGCATATTTTTATAAAAAAAAAAATTATTAATTTTGTGTTTTTAATTCGTGTTCTAAAGTACAATAATTTATAACAATCGATATAATTGATTTTATCAATAAAGCGAAAAGTAAGCAGTAAAGTCGATAAAGATAAATATTATTCTCTACTTACATCACATATAGGATATTTGGAGACTTTATTTTATATATGTTTCAACTTCTATTTAAGCAAGATATTATGATCAAATTTCAAATGCGTCTCCAAGCTGTCCATCCGGGCGATAGCAGAAGCCGATAGGCCTATAAAATTGAAACGATTGAATTGATTCTAAAAATATTTGATAGTCGTCTAAAATATTTCCATAGTAAAAGGGATAATGACATTCTTCAAAACGATTTGAGTAAAAAAAAACTAAGTGTAGAATAATAAACTTAAGGCGAACATTGTTTGACGCTTCTTTTAAATTTTAAAAATTACATATGTACCAGTTTATTTATTTACATGTCATCGCTTTTTGCGAAACAGATCGCAGCGTGAGAAACGAACATTCGTTTTCGACATCCAGTGCAACTTCACGATCAAAGGCCACTACAGCATCGTAGGCAGGATCCTGCTGTTTAACCTCAATACGGAAGGAAATGCAAAGATTAAGATTTGTAAGTACTGTGATATATATCAATGGATATATTGACAAAGTACCTACCAATAATAATAAGCGAAAAGTAAGCACTAAACTCGTTAAAGATAAATAATAGAAGATTTGTAAAATATTCGATACTGTGATAGAGCTACCGAGCAGTTCCGCAGTTGTGCGAATGGGCAAGCTCTTCTAGGGAAGAACCTCGAATGGGCGTTTACAGAGAGACTACAGAACGTTTCGTCTGGTGAGTGAGGTAGCCGGGCACCGCTTTTAATGCTCCACAACGCATCTACAATCTGTCACATGTTGTTGATGTCCTTGGGTTGTGGTAAATTAACATCATGTGAACCGCCTGAGCGCTAAGATTTCACATTTCTAAACTTCCTTAAAAAAAACATATGATTTTTCAATAATAATTTTAATACTCAAAGCATTCCTTCGTTTCAACTTCATACCTTAATCCATTACGATATTTTGAGTGAACTTTCCATCGGTCATTGGTAACGAAAATAATTCTATAATATTTCAATGGGTCGAAAGTACTGCAAAGCTGATGTGATTTGTATTTTTGTGGTTTCTAGGTATGTCTATGTATGTACATGTCAAGGCACATGTCAAGATTGTTGGCGTATCTGTATATTCCGGAAGAATAATCGATTTCGATTCGAACGACTGACGATTTTTTTCTACTCTTAACAGGGAACCAACGCATCCATCTCGAGGTCCTCGAGAAGGTGGTGAGGAACAATAAGGGTGAAGGCCACTACAAGATCAACTCGTACAAGTACAAAGCAGACTACGGCACAGACCTGAAGCTAAACCTGACGAATCTATTCAGGGGAAGCCCGGAAATTAGTGAGTAAATAATAGGAATGAGATTCAAAGTACAAAGGTCCTGCTTTGAATAAAGTCGTTATGTTAGAATAATGAAAGTATTGTTTCATGTTCCTAGATAATTTTTGTCCTCATCATCATCACCCGCAAGGCGTCTACTGTTGAACATAGACCTCCTTAGAATGCCACAACCAACGACACTTTGCCTTTGCATCCATAAATATAATATTTGTATAATAATTTTATATAATATTGATATAATTTTAAAGATGTAAAAATTCAGGTAGACATTTACTTTATTGAATCAAATTATTCATCTTCCTGAAGCAGGATTAGAAACATTTATACTAAACAATACAATAAGAAAAGTAAGAAAACAATTGACAAATTAAAATAGATGCTTTAAATGTATCAAGATATAAAATTGCAAACCTGAATTTCATTTTACTCGCAACGAACTCATTCTCACATTTTCCGAACTCCTAATCGAGGTATCGCATACCGCGCATCAGCAGTCATGCGATTTATGATCGACTTGAACCGGGTCATATTGATGTCATATTCAACAATGTATTTTAGATGATGGTTCACCGGTTAGAAGAAGGTCGAAGGTTCGGCCAGGCATTGATTAAACGAACTCTCACATGGTACACCCCCAAATTATGATATAAATGAGCTCCCACTTATGTATCCATTGTGCTTAGACCGTGACTAATCGTTTCTTCTTCTTCGTCTCTTCTTCACTTCAGGTGCGAACATACTCAACGTGCTCAACTCCAACTCTCAACTAGTCGCCCAGGAGTTCGGCGGCCCGATCCTGGACTACGCAATAGACTACGCGATGAACGTCACGCAGCGGTTCTTCAGCGCGTACACGTACGACCAGCTCAGCCACGTGCCCCTTACCGAGGAGTTCTTCGAGGACGACTGACCGCGTAAACGAAAGCGGCGAAACAATGCGGCGGCGGGTAGTCCTGGAAGCTTCCAGAATATAGAGTAACAGACTGTACAAGATATAAATCCTAACATCTAAGCCCGCTTGTATTATTTTGTTATGACATATTTTTTTAATGAACATTACTTACGTTATTGTGACTGATATTCTGTTCATGGTCATGCTGATTCCATTTAATATGATTTGCGGAACTTCAATATTTCTTTTACATATATTTATTAAAAAAAAAACGCAACTATTAACTATTGTCTGATATTTCAAAAAGTCAGACGGTAGTAAACAGACCAATAAAAACTTTAAAAGCACTTGTACCAGCTAAATAATTTTGCTTAAACTTTTGACATTGTAATTTGTGACCGTGTGACGACATGTCAATTGTGTAACTATACAAAGAACAACAAGATCTTTATCTCGTATAACTAGTAGTCGTAGTATACTCGTACCTACATAGATTAGTCTGATCAGCCATAATCGTGCGAATATATTCCATATAACTTGTTTGTAATATAGACTACTTTGACACCAGTTGTCGGCAGGGACAGATTTAGGGCTCTGGAGGCCTCGGTGCAACAAAGGAGTGGAGGCCCCTTGGCCCCAAATTATTTTCCAAATAAAATGAAAAAAATTTGTCACTCGAGTTTTCCAATAAAAAAATTATTGTGAAACCAAGTATAGATTCTTTTATTATTTAACGAACACATAAATAAAATCGGAAACAAGAATTAACTTAAGTTGTTTACTAGTGTTTACTAGTTTGAATTTGACTTTTTTTCCGAAGTTACTATTGTGGGGGCTTCTCTTTTGTGGAGGCCCCGGGGTTGTAGCCCCGGTTGCCCTCCCCTAAATCCGGCCCTGGTAGTCGGCAGTGGTGCCCATACGACTTAGGGTCTCTAAATCGTATGGGTACCACTGCCCAATGAAGAATGCCCATTTCTACTATAAAGATCAGCAACGCTATTACGTATCTGTTGCTAACTGATGACCACTTATAATTAGGTGTGCCATCTCCCCCATAAAAGAGAAGTCCTACCTTCTAATAAAGATAGTATTACAAGTGCTTTGCGCAATCGTCTGCTCAATTTTATTTTCTGAGATATGCAGGTTTCCTAACGATGTCTCGCTCGCAGAAGACGAGATAAATCAGCAGTTATAATTGTAATTTGCAACTTTACAACACCTAGCGACCTAGGATTAAAGTCAGCTAGCAATTATAATGATGAATTATTTCCGTGCAAAGTCTGTATTTATGAATCTCGTTGACACAAATTAAAGCATATTTCGCGGAACATGCTACACGACTGTGGCGCGTCAAGCGTAAAGCAAAAAGTGTGATTAAAAATAGCTTTAAAGATACATTGTTGGGTTCAAGGTTCAAAACGGTCTGTTTGTCACATCGAAAACAGTGCCTCTTCTTCTTTATATGTCTATTATAAATTTTTACATATTTACCACATTTAACACTAAACCTACGTATTATTATTAATGAGCGTCTAATTTTAATTAGTTATAGCTATTAAATGCAATTTAAATTTATTGGTCAATAAATAATTTCATATTTTTTGTTTTCCGTGTTAAGCGATGCATGAAATCAATAAATCAGACAAGATTTATGAAACAGTAATTCAGTAAATCCTTATATATATTAAAAGAGGTATAATCAGTTTTTGTAACAGACAATCTTTGAAACTATCAAACTGTTTCACCATAAAAAAAACTAGGGATCATGCCTCTGAAAAATATATAGTCAGATATGGTCCCGTGACTAGGCTCTACTAGACTCCAACAGTCTTCGCTGTTTCATGAATTTCAGATAAAACACAATGCTCTTTTGTCAACTTTTCACATAAACACTCCATTGTTATTTCTATTACGTGCAACAATAATTTTGTCACGTAACGGTGTCAGTGTCACCAACTGTCGGGATTGAGACCAAATAAGCCCGATAAATCAAGTACAGCTATGGAAAACCCCATTACCTCGTTAGAGTCAAAAAACATGAGAACTCGTGTCATAACAAATATAATTAATTTAAATAAAAGCTAGTTATTCTATATAAACCAAGTCAAATTCTTAAATAAATTTGTCTCAAAAACGTGATATTGATCCTCGCCATGTAACAACAATATACCATCATTTATATACATAGTTATAGGAATAAATATAACACTTTTCAGCGTGATATTTCATCTTATAACAATACAAAATATTCCTATCCTTACTTATATTATAAACGCGAAAGTTTGTATGTATGGATGGATGTTTGTTACTCTTTCACGCAAATACTACTAAATGGATTTTAATGAAACTTTACAATAATGTAGCTTATACATCAGAATACGATATAGGCTATAATTTATAAACATATTTTCATGTATATCTGTCTTTCTGTCTGAATCTTACGCCTTCAGCCTACTCTCCGCAGACCTAGTCGCGGGCAGCAGCTAGTACCGAATATAATTAATGAAAAACACAACTCCCTGAGGGATTTGAAGAGACGTAGTAAACCAAAGAGAAGATACGACGAAATTGTATTTAAAAAAAAACTTCTTTATTAGCTAATCAAAGCTCAATAATACTAATAGGTTTCCACGTAATACAAACACCATTAATTCAAGATGCCTACGATGTAGACACTATAATTTTGCAACGATTAATGTTAAGTAAGATAACACCGATCACAGCAATACGTTATCAAATACATTCACAGGCGCAGATTTCAAAATGGATGACTTTAAAAGAATCTCATGTTCGAATAGAAAGGGTCTTATAGATAATGAGCCTCTAAAATGACTCCATTAATCTAGCCCAATCTTATAATTAACAAACATAGCGACAGTATCATTCTGATACCTGAGCCATATATGTTTCACCAGTAGCTCTACCTCAGCAATCTAGGAAGCGTCAAATTTTCTATTGTTTCAAAATTTGCCGAATATATAGAATAGTATAAAGAGTAATTATTAAAAAAAACTTTGTGCCATATATCCGCTATTTTGATTTTATATTGAGTTTCAAGCGAATATAGCGACGGACATACATACAGGTCAAAAAGATAGAATTTTTAACTTCACCGGTCTCGGGTAAAGTTGAATTACTACTCGTAAACCGTAACTTGTACTCAACCACCAAAGGTTAACTGGAAGAAAATGCTATTTAGCATTAAGTTCGCCTTTGTACAAACTTCTAGTACAATAAAGAATATACAAACAAACAAACAAATGAATTTAAGTTTCTCTAACTCTGTGGCGCAGTGTTGAAGGTATTGGTTTCGGCGCCGGGAGTCATGGGTTCGTATGTTCGATTCCCACACGAAACAACTATTATTGTGACACACAGATACTTGTTTCTCATCTGGGTGTTTGTCCATATAAAAATTTGTGTGTAAAACGTCATCACAACACAGGATAATGTTATCCTAAAGTAATAGCAAAAAAATTTACAGTTAATAATAAAATAATGTACTTCTAGTGTAGCGAGGGTCCATGGGTGAATACATACCATCAGCTAACACATTTACTTAATGTCCTTATGAGAACAAAAGTAACAAAAACATTTATAATGGTTCAACGAAACTATTTTACGGAGTTTATAGCAATTTATTTAAATTCCCGACGTTTCGAAACATTTCCAGTGTTAACTGTTACGGGACAGGGTTCTAAAATAATATTTTTTTTATGTGAGAGGGTGGCAAGCGAACTGGCTGGATGTGATAACCGCCGCCGTTGACATTTGCAACATCCGTAGGGTTGCAGATGCGTTGCCACCTTATAACAAAGTGGGCCCCGGCTACCTCACTCACCCGAGGAAACGCAGATGTATAGCACTTTTAATCAATTTTAATGTATATTTTTGCCAAAAAATTGCCTTAAAAATAGATATAGCTGATCCATGAACAGTCTCTTCGCAACAGTTTAATTTGCAAACTGATTTTTATAGATATTGGCCCATGTCACTCGCAGATAGTATAGCTTGCAGTAGTCTTAATAAAGTAGAAGTAGTGTTTACACATTATAGTTTGATATGAAAGGTGTTCCTACATTATAGAGGTTGGCTGCATTTGCTGTTGGATGTTAATAAAACCTCTCAAGCTTTATTGATGTTGATCATGTGTGGTATTAATTTGACATCAGGTCACGTCTGTTCGTGTCATCTTTGAAAAAAAATGCAGACAAAGAAAAAAAATCACCACTTAATACCTTGTTTATATTTTAGATAAGGCTATTTCTTAATCGTTTTTAAAAGCCAAATGCCAAAGGACAATATTTGCAAATTAAATTTTACCAAATTGACCTAAAATTTCGAAGTTTACTTTGAACCTTGAGCCTTGAACTTTTTAACCTCGTCATTTTAAATTCTTTACAAACATATTTTACTATTTAACTATAATATTTACGGTAAAATACTACTTATTAAAGTACTTATTGCATATTCCATTATGGCTTGATGCAACCTGAAATGTCGTGGTTTGTGATTAATTGAAGTTATGATCATAATGAACTTAAATAGCAAAAGCCGCGTTCCATAAAAAGCCGTAATAAATTACTGGGTAGGGTGTAATAGATAATCCACAACTGAAGAGCATATATGGACGTACGGAAAACAGAGATCTCGTATCTGGAGGTAGATTAAAATCTGAATCATTTCGCTCATTCAAGGCATGTTCTATTAATCGTATGTTGCTTTGTATATAACTTACGATTACTTAAATCCGTAATAATTAAATAATATTTAAATTGAATTATCTACTCTTTATTTCGAAGGAAAATGCCAAAACTTAAGCGAAAACTGCTATTAATACTCATTCTTACAGAATATTTGGGTGTTTTAAATAAAAATAATTCAAATTCAAAATGCTCTTCTTTATGATCTTACGAAAAATTTCGTCCATCGAACAATTTTTCTATCAAAACACGCGAAGAATAGATAACGTCTGTAAAGTTTAATGCTTTATTTGTTTATGCCCTTCCAAGACA